ATGTACTGCTCTATTAGAAACACCCTGCGAGTCAGTCACCCACAGAACGCAAAATTTTACTTTTCATACAAACATTTAATTGTTGTCAAACGATCCTTTGTTCCTATAATATAGTGCATCAAAACTACCTACTCATGTTCGAACAGTACCTGTTGCCTTCTTGCCGTGCATGGCAAAGAAGACCGCTGGAAGGGCCTTGGCTGCGTGACGTTTCATCACATCCGGGGAAAACCGTGACATTGCCTGAAGAGTAAGACCACAGGCTAATCTCAAACCTTCATCTGCAAGAAAGTGTAAAAAGAAGACAGCGTCAAAAAAAGAAACAATAAATTAGGGTGACCGGCTATAAGACAGAGTAGAAGAAGCGGTAACATAATAGTTGACACGATAGACTGGGGAGAGGAAACTGGGTCGGAGCCATAGCTGAGTCAATGTACTGTTCTTGGGCAAGACACGCTAAGAAGTGGCAACAGACTCAGGATAATCTCTCCTCAGTAAAACAGCTTCACTCTAGCTTTGAGGGATTTTCTCTAAGGTAGTTATTACGTTTGGGATATCGTGCGAAATTTCTTACTGTGCATTGTGTATCTTGTTTATGTATGTTTTGTTTTAACCTCATGTTAATCTATTTCCTATGATGCAGCTCCTAGTTGGCTTTCTTTGTTTTGTTTTGTTTCTTCTAACTCTTAAAGAACGCTGTACTCCTTTTTGTTTTTTAAATCGCTAAGAACTTCCCTTTTGTTCTTTTTATTGAGGTACAGAGGATAAAGTTGTTCAGTAAAAGTCATTTAGGACGAAAAAACGGTGGGCGAGAAAAAAAAACGGCGGTTACGTTAATCAAGGGGACTCTGTATAAATCGGGATAGGTTCCAATGGTTACGAGTCACTAAGCTTGACTTAGAGAGGACCAATATTTACCTTCCTTTTCAAAGTACCATTTATTTATTTTATCAATAATTTTCTCCACTGTACTGTCCTTTGCGACCTGCGTTGAATCAAGATACAAACAGGTGGTCACAATTAGAAAGCAACAGATAATCACTACAACTGTTCCCTCGTGAACAAAATAAGAACTTCTTCCTATGGCATCAATACAACATTGGAAGAATAACAAGAATCGAAAGAGTGACAATGAATTTATTATAAGTGATGTGGGCTTACCTTGACCAGATGACCAATAGCTGTGGCGTAAGATTTTCTGACAGAGGCGCTGCGATCGCTTAATCCAGACAACAACGCGTTGAGGAGTTTCCCTGTTGATTGAAGAAAAGCATAACAATTGATAAAAAGAAATTATATTGAGGGGGATTTTCGATTTATGCAACATTTTTCTCGCGCAAACATTTTTGGTCACTATATTTCCCTTACTCTCTCTAATGAATGTTTACAGGTTCACGAAGTGACCTGTCCTGTACATCATTACGCCTTATTACAAGCAGTGAATGGCAAAGACAAAGATGGGGTGGGGAGTGGGAACCACGTTTGAGTGCAAATTTTCTTAGCGTTGAAAGCTTGATTTTGTCCAAGCGGGTGATGTCTGAGACTATCACATCAATTACCAAAATACAACGGTAATATCAAGCGTAAAACGTAATGAACATGAAAAAAAAAAAATTATGACTATTATAGAGATTCAAAAAACTCAGACTAACCAGCACATGGAATCAATTCCTGGGGGCACTGCATGGCAAGAGAGACGACGAAACTAGCACATCCTGCCTACAAAGTCAAATTAACTAGTAACTCCTCTTTATGACATAAATAAATCAACCTACAAAGTGTGATGACAAACAAATAGCGAGAAAACCCACTACCTTTGTTCCCAGTCCAATTCCGGTTCGTAAAAGGTCAGATAGTCTTGGGACGAGTTCTGGGAGAACTGTCTCGTCCACATATTGCACACACTGAAATAAACACAAGGAAAAGAGTGAGAAAGAGAGAGGCTGGAAGGAATGAGTTTTTTTGTCCAGGACACTTTAGATAATTCTTAGCCAGGATAGTGGCTAAGAATGAAAGATTAAAAAAATATCAAACTGTGTTGGTAATTCATAACTGCAGCCAAATAAGCCTCCGTCATTTGATAAATAAATCAACGAAGAGTTTTCTTCTAAATTAAAAAAATTGCGGAAAGTTGAGATGGCTTGTGGTTCATGTTAAACCCCATCAATTCAAACATGTAAAACCGAACAGTTTCATTTGTTTTGACTGAATATTTTGAGTCTGGATGAAAACTAGACTTTACATTTCGATCTAAGTTTTAGTTACGGTTTATTCTGAAAGCTGAAAAACTTTTTAGGGTGTACTAAAATTTTAGCCCGGAATAGAAAATTCCATTTAGAAAAAAATGGGAGGAAAAAAAGATAACTTTTCTTGAGCTGTTCCACAATATTTCTCAAGGCTAGAGGTAGATTACAAAAGGCGCTTGATCAGGTTTTTTACTTTGCAAAATTTAAGATTGTGTGGTAAATGTAAAGTTTCCTACAGTCCAAATACGGTAGAAAGATGGAAGCGTCCAATGTAAAGAAGTTGGAAAAGGATTCCGCAAAATTGGAATAAATTTGTATCAAAAAATGTTATGAATGTATTGCTCCTTCTGGTAAAAAGGACGTGAAGTTTTGAGAAATACTTATATCTAACAGGTATCTTTATTTTGTTTAACATTTACCATGTTGATTGTTTCCATCATAGGAGACATCTTGGAGGCAGCAATTCGCACTCCTTCGAGCTAAAAGGAAAGTAAAGGTCTAAATATCAATTCTAATAGAGTCGATAATGTAAACTGGCCACGGCGAATAGTTTTTAAAGCTGACCTCGTAAGTGTTAAGCCCTTGGTCAGAGCGGAGGACTAAAGCTCGAAACGCCAGCTTTATAAACCGCTAAAGGTAGCCAGTTTAAATTTTCCACTCAGTTGATAAAACCAAATGATCATCTAATAACCCCACCGACGCAGCTCCACAGTTCCTTTAAAAACTTTATTCCAACAGACATTTGATATTTAGTGTTCATAAATTAATTCTAAGAGTGCCTAAACCCAAAAGTTTCTAATGGGGACAAAATCACCAGATTTCAAAGCCGTTACGGCTAACCAATTGTTCCAGAAGTGATCAAGTTGAGAAGAAAAAACATGTTTCGCCAAATTCAAAAGGTTGTTCTTCTTTTTCACACCTTACAAATACAACTTCAGATAAAATTGTTGTTGTATAAACAATTTGGTTACATAATTTTGAAATTTTCAGTATATATATGCTTAAGTGTGTCACTGCTAGGGAAGGGCGGCTATACATTGCCATGGCAACTTAATCTATGGTAGTACCTACATTCACAGTTTAAGCTGCAGTCAGATGAAACACTGTAAAATCAACATATTATTGAACTAAACTCGATTAAATGTCGAGCGTATTCTATGTTCTTACACACATACCTTCTCTTGAACGTCTTCACTTTTATGGAGTTGTAAACTCAAGTAGTTCATGGACTGTTGGAGCAAAAAAGGAAACGATTATAAAAGTGAAACAGATTACTTTTCTAGAAAGTTTTCTGTTTGGGAGAAACTGTGATGGTTGGCTCGCACGTATATCTCACTACCAAAAGATCCAAGTTTAAGTCCTAAGAAGGTCTTTGGTCGTTTTCTTAGACAAGACTCTGAATTAAATCCAGTTAAATGCATAACTTTTTCTGTAAAATTAAGGGGCACCATATTAGGTATCTAAATGTGCCCTCTCCTCTCTTCTCTATTATTTGTAGTACAGAATTGCCCTGTAGTTATTACCTTGTTTTATTACATAACTTAACTTACTACTACATGGAGTGGAGAGATAAATACATAAATAAATGATGTAATTTTTAATCTTCTTTGAAGGGCAAAGGGTGTGAAATGTCGGCTTTACGAAAACCACCTTAGCAGGGGTTAAGAAGTTTGTTGAATATTTTTTGTGTGCCTTTGACGCTTTACTAAGTCTGAGCCCCTCATTAGTGAGTGCACAGTCTAACACTTCAAGTTTGCAACCTGTTCCTCACTCCTCTTCTCTGAAAACCAATAAGCCACCAGGTGTGTATGTGGGCGTTTGGGAAAAATTACCGTCGCATAAAAAGCCTACAGCCAAGCGGAATATACAATACAATTTACTATCCACTTTAATTTTTCAAATACGACGTTAGATACATACTGTATTTCCAGGCTAGCATAACATTCAAGTTTCAAACCTGGTCTTCCAAGCCACTGAGCGACTCCAGGAGAGCGACTACCAGCAATGGAATGTGAGGTTTTAACAGAGCACCCTGTGAGTAACAAAAACATCAGATTAATAAAAAGCTATGATTGAAGCCAATTTAACTGCTTTTAAGAGGAGTATATAATACGTTCTAAGCACGCTACAAGATGTAATCAAGGTCGTTTATCCGCCTTAACTTGACGTGCCTACTAAAGGTCAAGCTTTTCCCGCCAAAACATCCCGAGAACCATGTTTTTGAAAATGTGACGGTAATAAGGCGCTGAACCTCTGATATTAGAATAGCCAAAGCCAAACCAATATATAGCGGAACATACCGCATTCTTGCTGATCTTCACTATCGTAGAAAGACTGTGAAAACAAAAAGAAACAGAAGATTTTGCATTGGATCCTTTTAAGCTCTTTGACCCCTTAGAATGACTAGTATCTAAATTCTTCCTACAAAATTACCCCTGAATCAAAGATAAAGTCAAGCGAATAAAGGAAATGATCAATTACTACAGAAGTTCTTGATTGTTAAGCAAATTCTCCTTGTCAGCACCTTAGAAAATGTATAGAGAACAGTATGGAGAATATGCATACTGATGTTAGGGTGGAAAGGAGTTATTGACCAAATAACAAAGTTAACTAACCATCAAGTTGTACCAGTTGGATTACGCCGTTACCTTATTGATCTCACCTCTTCTGCACTGTTCGCCACTCCCTTGTGTAACAGAGTTGGAAGGACTAATGCGATGGCTGTTTCCCCAAGCTTGCCTTGATTCACATCACATACACGAATAGACACCTGTAAAATCAAGTCAATTAAGAACTCACTGCATATCCCCATAAACATATTTTCCACTCATCTATCCACCTATAATGTGTCTCGATCGTCCCCAAAACTTTTTGAGTCAGACAATTAATGTGATCAGAGAAACACTGGTTTCCATACGATCTTCTCTATCACCTAGCAACTGCTCGACTTAACTAGGAATCGTGCAATCAGGCTTAAGATACAATTGGTGTTAGCTTTTCTCCAATCAAAGACACTGAAGCCCACCGTTATAGAGGACTTGTTATTGAAGAAAAAAAAGCGGTCTGTAATAACTATAAAAGTAGTCATTCACGTCAGTCAAGTTCTTAAAAGAAATGACGTGATGACATCACCGCAAACCCCTTACTCCTTTGATTCAACAAAAGAATCCCTCATACCTTACTTAGTGTCCTACAAGCTACCTCGGCCGCCTGTCTGACAGTTTCCTGCAAAGTAACATCTGAATTTAAAGTTCCACTGCTTTACATTACTCCGGATGCTTTCCACCGCCACCCAGGTGAAGTCACTTGAAAGGGTAACCCTTTTGCTGTAAAACGTTGCTGTAAAACGTTCCAATAATAGTACAATAATCGTACAAGAATAAAGTAGTCAAGGGGTTAATTTCCTTTTCTCCTACCCTCTTGTTTATTTTTGTGTTTACGATTGCAAAAAATTGACTGGGAAAGGAGTGCCCTTCATGGTGCAACAATCTGGGTTACAAACCAACCTGGGGTCTCTTCGAAAGGACCCAAAGGGTTTGGGGAGAGAGATTGGTTTACTATTGCAATTTAAATAAGCGCGTTTGTTTCAGGCCTCTCCCTTCAATTTCATGACAAACGATCACAGTCATCATAGACCCTTCCATCACCTTTGTGAGCTGTGTTTAGTTAATAGATAGGTCTTGACGGGCAAGAAACAACGTGCTTGTGCAGAATTATAACCCCGGCTCATGTAAAGGCTTTACTTCTATTACTCTTTGTGGTGATTCAACACATACAATACAAATTAACCCAGGCTCGTGTTAAGAGGCCTTAAAAACGGTGCTGTGTGTCCCGCCGTTTTCTACTCCGCTAGAGAATATATCATATACAGAGATTAACGATTTTCTACCATTAGCGTCCACTTTCAAATCTGAATTGAAACATCCGAAGTTCACCCGTATTTGGTTCAATACAGAAGAGAAGCAAGCTCATAGTTTTCCAATGAGTCATAAAAACATACGACCCAACGCGTAACCGCCCTAACCAACAGGTACAATCTACTGATAAAATGGCTGCAGTCAGCCAAATTTGCGTGTCTGTGGTTCACGGAAGAAGCAAAAAGTGCCTAAATATATGTGGATAAACACAAAGAGGCGTGTTTTAGAGCTGTTTCGCAACCAAAATGGTTCTAGTGAAGGACTGTCTTCATTAGTGGTTTATCCTGGCGCCGTGAAATACTTCGTTTTTGAAACTCCAGTCTAAAAAACTCACCAAATTCGCTAAGTATGGAAATCTAAAAGCTTTTCTTCCAAAAATTTTCATTTCTTTGCATTCAATGATTACCAACCTTTATGTCATCTCGTACTCTAAAACACAGCTCCCAGAGCCTAGGGAGAGACTCGAGCATGTCATCTATTGATCGACCGCTGAGGAGATCACTGAGAGCCATGCAACTGAAAATAGTAACAAAGATGAGAAAACCAATGGAAACGCTAGAAAAAAAAAACAACAACAACAACAACAAAAAAAAAAACAGAGGATCAAAGGATAGGTTCAACGTTTTTTGCAATCGAGTGTATACTATACAGAGAAAACACATGTGAAAGGAAAGCTTGAAGGAAGTTGATACATCGAAATCTGAAAGTAAACTAGGTACGATCTTTGTGTTTTTTTTTTTTTTGACTCACCTGGACTGTCTTACTCTCCATAAGTAACTTTCTAGACTTGTTTTTAAGTCTTCTATTATTTCTTTTACGTATTTATCCACCTAAAAAACACCGAATGAAATAAATACTAGAGATCCAAACATTTGAAAGCGTGCCTTTCTTTTACTGTCAGGTCTAACGTCCAGACTGATTGGGGTGAACTGTCCTCACAAACGGAACTTGTTAAAAGGATTTTCATACTGGATACATTCGAAAAACCCGACATTGCCTCTTATCGACAGAAAAATGAAGGATTTTGCGTTGGCTTATCCATTTAAGGCTCATAACATGCTAGCGTACCGCCTTGAGCTAGCCGCCTCCCGGTTAGCTCATTTGGTACGAGCGCGGGACTGTTGTCCGGCAGGTCGAACACTCATGGTCTTAAAATAACTGCCGAGACTGTGCCACCTTTCTACAATATCAAGAAATGGATCGACATTCTAGTCTTCTCGGATAAGGACGAATAAACCGTAGGTTCCGTCTCCTGCAGCTATTCATTAGTTAATTTGATTGGGCAGGAGACGTTAAAGAACCCACTCACGAGATAATTGTGACGTGGTCTGGCCTGTTTATTGGGGGAAGGGGCATCTTTAAATAAGTCTTTGATTGATATTGTAAAGTGCTTGATGCAGTCCGGCTAAAGTCTCCCGAAAGTGTTGTTAAGCGCCATGAGAGTTTCTTGATATGTGCACTATATAAATACTGGTTATTATTATTATTAAACGCCCAACTAAGTTAATATGCAATAAATAACTCTAACTGAGTCCCAATCAGCTATCAATTCCAGTTCACTTGAAGGTCTTTAGCCACTCCCCTTTGCTAGGTATTCCTTTTCTACAGCTACGTACTGCTTAGAAAGCTGTAGTTAGCGTGACGTGACTATGATTGACATACGTAGCAGTTTCAGTTTTTCCTCAAAGTCAAACAGGAGGAACATGAATTGAGCGGCATCAACACCCACAAAAGGAAAAAAGTGTTCTTAAAATTTCCCCCTACGAACTCCAAATTTTAGCACGACTCTAGCTTTGCTTATGCTTGCTCCGTTTGTCTAACAAGAAACAGAGAGTGTGTCACGCAAGCTAGCATACGACCATCAAAAACCAACCGTTTTCTTTGTCTCTGGCACAAGAGCAGCCCAGAGGCTGGCCATCGCTTGTTGTATCTTCGTATTGGGATCATACTGGTACCTGGCGGGCAGAATTACAAGAAATTATTATCTACTTCCACATACTACACAATGCAGATGTCGCATATCATCCTAATGATAGCTCATTATAGAGTTCTCTTTGAATTAAAGGTAAACCATCGGAGCGGAATCAGAAGGTCCGAGGTTCGATTCCTGCCGTCCATTTCAGTTTCCCGTCTAAAGATCGTTGTGATACTTAGAGGTGTTCAACATAGGCCACGAGCATGAAACAAGGAACTGTCTACTTGAAGTGCTCCATGAGAAGCATAGCCTCGGCCAGTTCCCATTACACGGTCTACTTCTTAACCAATTAAGCTTCAGAGAACTTTTAAGAACACAAACCCAGAAACAAAGGTCGTATGTGAAAATACTTGTCATACAAGAAGTAATATATGTTTACCTGAACAACTTTGGTACAATCTTAGGAAGGTACGGCTCCAATTGCTCTCTTGAGTGAGCAGCTATGGATGAAAACCCGAACGTTGCACCCTCGAAAGAAAAGAAATACATAAACATACAATTGTAATTCTCTGTTCTATGGATGATTCGGATAGTTAGAGAACGTTTGGCCTGGTTGACATTTAATTGCACCAACTGCTTGGGTATCGGGGGGGGGGGGGGTAAGTTCTCATTATTCAAGAGACACTGTGCTGCAGAATCGGTGGAGTATCATATGGTAATTTTGTTTTTTTCAGCCGAGTTGATAATGTAACTAGGCCACCCTAAAAGAGTTTCAAAGCTGACGTTTCGAAACTTAGCCCTTCGTCAGAACAAATGGGTATCAGTTTGGACGATTGGTATCATCAAGACGATCACTGAAAACCAGGCCCAAGCAAAACCCCAAAATCGTCGGACAACCTAGACTAGTTATCGCCACGAAGCTTGCGAAGAACCTCTCATTGGTGTTGCTTCACGAGTATCTCGTAAGCAAGCGGAGGAGGCTCTGTCAACTTGGCATACTTCACCTGCGAGATGATCGGTCAGAAGTACTGCTAGCAGGCTACTCGCCACCCACTAGGTATTCAGAGAGGCACGAGCCAATGAACATTTCTTAAAACGCAACAAAACTAAACAAAACAAACCAAACTAATCCAAAAGCAAACTATCTTTAATTAATACGATACCTTCCGGGAGTTCCAAAGAGCGTTCTGATTTGCGAGGTGCATAAACTTGTAAATTAGGTCTGGCTGGTGAAGATCATTTGCAATGGAGCATAACTCCTTGTAGATGGATGCTCCTCCCCTGAAACATCAAGTACGATGGGAGAAAGAACATATTAACATGGCTCGTGAGCACAAGCACAAAGTAATTTTGAAAGGAACTGAGGTGAAAAAGAGGGAATGTTCACTTCTTACAGTTTAATCGCGATCACAACTGGTACTGGAACACTAAGGCTGCCTTCCATTTATCGGACCTGGCCGAACAGTACACGGCTTGCGAGTCGCGCAGTTTCGAGCGCTTTCAATACCAAATGGATATCCCATTTCCGAATTACCTTTAGCCTTTGTTCAAAACGAGTCCTGGTTCTCATCCTTTCATATGATTATACGTTTTCATTCATATGCAAATGAAACTCGTTTTCATACGAATGGTTAAGCATCAGACCTCGTTTTGAAAGAGGTCAAAGGTTATTCGGAAATGGCCTATTGGATAGATACCTATTTTGCGTTATAGTGTGCAATGTAGACTAGACCTCTTTAGCTTGAATGTTTTGTTTACCTATTTCACGTCAAGTGATAACTGTGAATGTGTCGGATATACTCAATAAACGCTCGTTGTCACACTCATGTACTTTATTCGCTATGTCCATGTAAAGCAAAACGTCAAGTGAAAATAGATCACAAAATGCTAACTGATTCGGTGTACTTAGAAACGTAACAGGATATTGAAAACCGAAACGATATAAAATGAATTTACGTACCAACATCTGCGGCCCTAGCTCTCAAGAGGATATCCAGACACCTGGGTTCACTAACTCGACTAATCGTTTACTAATCACGTTTCCTTTACTATAATACGATAAAGATTATGACGTCATGGTAACAATAACACTCTAGGGAAATGTGCCCGTGAATAAGAGGGAATTTGAAAGAAACAGCTCTCCAGAGCATTATCACATGACATGAAATGGGTAAACAAAACATACAAGCTAAAGAGGTCTATTCATTGCTCAAAACTCTCCATAATTTCGCAAATAATTTAAAAAAGAGCGCAAAACTGAAAGTCGATTGAAAAGACAGGTT